GTTTTAATGGTATAATACCTATGTTCGTATTTACAAAAAAGTACAAATACCGTGTCGGACTTTTAAGGATTATTGTTAAAATGTAAACTAAAAGGTGATAATTTATGTTCTAAGTTATCTTATCTATATTTATGTTGTTAAATTTTCGAATCCTTTAAGTTAAGAATGTCCAATGCCCAAAAAGTCCAACGGTTTCAAAATACCCAATTCCCGGAATAATTTTATTCATAATCATACGAACCTATTGTGGGGTTTCCCCTACATTTATCTTCGGCATTAATGTCTAAATCTAGGATATAAATTTATTTTCCTATTGTTCTGTTGGTTAAACTATTCGACTTAGCACCAGTCGTGAACTCGTGAGGGTATTACAATTCATGGCCATCTACTTTCGTCATGAGGAATAATGTTCCTCGAAGAATGAGGAAGCCAAATTAGTATACAACATTCTTCAAGGCAAGGCCTTTAGTGTGAATTTGTGCCTTGATTTTCCGATAGCTGTAATTTATTGAGCGTTTAGTTTTATGACTTAGGGCGGTGCTAAGTTGTGCGACGTTAAACTTTTTTATTTGCGTTTTATTCATTGTTATATGTATTTATTTGTTAAATATTGCAATTTACACTTTGAGGGAAAAATAGTCTTAATTTACATTTTTTTTTAAATTCACTCCTTTGACTAATCACCATCGCGCATATAAAGTTACGGCTGTGGTTACGGTTACTGACCACATGAAAGAAGAGGTTCTATGTTCTTCAGTAGGTATTTCGCAACATCGTTAAAATAGTAAAGTTTTCACTTTATGGCATATTATATTCGCGCGTGTGTAAAACGGCTCTAACAATTTAAATGATGCGTAAGAGACTGCAAATGTACATCGTTTAATACGAAAGCACATCAGACAAAAGATTTGTTTTAAAATAGCATCTATAATACCATGACATAAGATCCACTGTTGAGCTTGATATGCCGTTGTCTGTACGTAGAAAGTGAGACGTTTAATAAACTAACATGACTATTGAATGGTCGTAAACGAATTAATTGTAATAGATGCGAAAAACTGACAGTTAAATGAGATATTGGATGTTGTTGTGTTTATTATGCCGAGTACGCAAATGTCGTGAACACGCTCGCGTTATTGAGCTGTAATAACTATAGTCCTGTAAAGTATTATCGTGGAAATTTAAACCTTATTACAAGGGAATAAATTATTTAGCGTATACATGCTAGTGCTCCTGACTCTACCACGTCGAGCGGTGTTGAATGAAAACTATGAATACGATTAGAAACATTTCTTTGTTCTTCTTTTTAATTTGAATAGTGTAATTATGAAATGTGAATGTTACGTACATATTGGTACACCAATCTAGTGCCTAACCTGAAAATTGAAAAACTAGCAGGCATTTTAGGCCCGTATTCGTTAATGACGCTCATATTTTCTTTTTAAGCCTGTGAAGGCTTAATTTTTGATTAAACTGACTAATCATGTGCTTCAATTTTTTCTTGGACATAAAAAANACATAAAGTATACCTATTTTTATGCCATAATTTCATAATTCATTACCTAGTTACTAGCATTTTAATCTGAACTCCTGAGTGTGCTGTTGATTATGCAAAATCTCTGCAACTGATACGACTAGCATTTATACATAACAGCACGTCAGGTTATACATTTCTGTGCTAATTTCACACTTATTACTATCTACATAAGATGCTACCAAGAACTCTACCATCATCTCTACAACGAAGCGTTAATACCTTCATAAGCGTGTGTATTGCAAGATTTCTACTTGCTTCGTGTTTTCGCATATATTTGCTAACAATAACACCCTCAGTATGTCAGTCCGTTAGTTTATGTCACTGAATTTAAGCTACCATAGGTACAGGCTATTTGTTCTTACTCTACCGTGTAGATACCATTATCATGGGCAACTTACGCCCGTATTCACAAACATTACTATGAGGTCTCATAGTGCGCGTGGACGCACAAGGTGACACATAAACCAATCACAGAGCTCTATTCAATGCTGTGCGTTCGATTTGATGCTTAAGCAAGCATTGTTTGTGAATACGGGTGCTAGACTACAAACTTTTTGTCGGCCGATTGTTTGGTCGCTGTTAATCAGTATGAATATTGTATGGCTGTACGCATATTAGATACTTTAACTTGGTATCGCATGATTCCTCATACTAATTGTTGTGCGAAGTAGTGCTCTCTCTGTCTGGGTGTCCACGGAAGACCAGCGTCGTGGCATTCCTGAGATGCTACGACACATGCTGAGTGGCCCACCTTTTCAGTATCTTGTGTATGTACATCTAAAATATACATAACTCAAAAGTGACTGACATAGTGATCTATCAACGCACAGTTCAAACCACTGGACGGATCGTGCTGAAATTTGGCATGCAGGTAGATGTTATGACGTAGGCTAAGAAAGGATTTTACGAAACTCCACCACAGGGGGTAAAACGGGATCCACGCGTACGAAGTCGCAGGCGGCCGCTAGTTAATGCCTTCCTTTCCGCATATATTTTTGTATTTTGTAAATTTTGTGAAACTGAATAAAATTAAAAGCCCACAAAACTATTGGCCGACTAAAAGTCTGCAGTCTGCGGAGAGTCTTACCATCCACCGAAAAAAACTCTGTCTGCTTATTTAATTGTTTGTTCACAGTTCTCATGTGTTAGGTAATACTAACAGTGAGAAAGGTGTGAAGTGTGAACATAAAGTTTATGATAAGTGGTTTTCCGAATACCTATTGCTTTCCGATATTGGTTGCGTGTTGAGGTTGATTGGTACCTATACCTTTTTTCTTAAAAACTTTTCGATATTATTTAATTAATAACTAAGTACCTATAGAACATAATCGCATAATTTTAACGAATAGTTAATGACCTCAAATTAGTTACCATCTTAGACTGAATTGCAAATATGGCGTGGGATCCCACATTACACCTCGCTTCCTTGGATAAGTAAATTGTGTTAAATTACTCAGACACTTGAAATGATTTAGGTACAATCGTTTCTTGTAGAGATGATTACACACCAAGCTAAACACTGTGGCTTCTTACATTATTTTCCAAATAAAAATATATTTTGACTTGCTGTAAACTTTAATTTATTATTTTGCTCGCAAAATATTTTAGCTATGTATTTTTTTTTTATAATATTTATACAACAAAAAGCCGAAATCGTGAAATAGCCAGTGTTATTATTAAAATATTTGTGACGGGAATTTATTTTCATTCAATTCGGATTTTTTTTATTATTCATTAAACTTCAGTGTTTGTCAAACCTCGATTTATGTAACTTGATGTGAACTTGTGAAGTACTCGTAAATAAAGAGTATCATAAATTGGATTATTCAATAATAGTCACTGCGATTGTTAGTTTAATGCGATTGTTTGCGATTACGAAACAACAGCTGTCGATAACTTGCATTTCTCTCACTTTCTTTTGTTTTGTCACGGTGTTTCGTAGTGTGACAAATGATACATGCGATTTCACGTATGTTACATTTCGACAATTACACTTTTCAGCAATTAAAATTACAAAAAAAATGCTGCTAACATTAACAATTCAATAAAACATAATTTGAAAGCGTTTGATACGCAGCGCAATTACATTTTATATGTATAAACTTTTCCATTTAATTTTGTTGTAAAACATACGCAAGAAAATAAGAAATATACTTTTTAGGTGACTAGTTCCAAATTAATGTGAACCACTCTAATTTTAAGCAGTGTGTGCAATACTGAAGTTTTTAAATCTAGTATGTAGTACTCGCATGTGGCAATGAGTTAATGATGAAGTTTTGCTATACATATACCTACTGAGAAAACCGGCGCAAATGAGAGCATGTGCTGAGTTGGGTCATACATTACTGGTTTACGTACAGTCAGAAGTAAAAAAGCATGCAACTATTTCGTTATAAGGTATTCAAAGAATGTGGGTTCCATTCGTGGCACCTACCACCTACCTTACCTTAGCATCGCCATCCACCAGTCGACTGAGGCTGGTGAAACATTTTCTAAGCTATGAGACAGCCAATAATCCAAAGATTTTGTATGGCATAATTTTACTTCTTCAGTGGCACAATATGACATAAATAATGTCATCTGTGTAATGTCTATAATAAGGTCTATTTCACAAATAATCTCAAAGCCATAACGAGGCCCATAAAAATGCAATTTGTCGTGAAAATTGTGTGCATACTTTGCACATTAGTTTTCCGACCATACTGCCTCATATGCAGGCTTTAAGCACTTATATTGTGGCTTGAAAATTATCAAAAGTGGGTCAAACTATAAAATAAATGAAAACATTTACACGCAAATACCTACATAAGGAAATTAGCCGGTTGCGTTTAGTCGCAGATTATTGCGTAACAACGTTACGTGCTGTGACTTGTAAAACGTAACACTGATCAGTCGCACGCATTTTACAATTGGTAATTTCAATGTAATTGTATTTACTCATTGAACTCTACAATGCGTGGATTGCATCGAAGATGTTAAGCAGTGTTACAACTTTAGGTACATTATTAAGTATTGGTCCGACTACACATCCTTGGGGGACACGTTGAGTTTCTTCGGTTATGATGATAGTGGACAGGTCAGAACAGATATTCTCTTTCTGGAAATTCTGAATCAGATCCTGTGATTAGTCTAAATTTAGAAATTAGAGCATCATTTTTGATACGGACCTAAGACTAGACAAATCCCTAATGCTATGTAACTAAATAACCTCCTTAAATGCTTTGCGCACAGTCACCATTGGCGCCGGGGGACAGGGTGGTGTGTGGGACTCCGGCGCCCCGAAAAGGGCGCTGCTCCGTCCTGAAATGGACTAATCGCCCTAACAATTAGAGAGGGTCGTGCTCTAAAACTGATCTGATAAAATGAAACAAGCATTTTGTTAAGCATTTTATTTACCTTATTTAATCAGTCTGCCTTATTTTCAAGACATGTGTTTTATAGCAGTTTCCTCTGCATTTTCCAGGTGGAGTCTGGTCGCGAGGAACTGAAGAAGGAGCGGGAGATCATGCAGCTGGTGGCCGGGCTGCAGCTCGGCTCCGACGAGGTGGAGCGCCGCGAGGTGCCGCCGCATCTGCTTCGGGCGAGGCATGCGCCTAGGTACACACCTTTCAAAGATAACTTGCTAACCAGGGACTATTAAATCCCTGCTTTTTTAACCCTCGACGAAAAAACGACGGAGTGTTATAAGTTTGACGTGTCTGTGTGTCAGACTGTGGCATCGTAGCTCCCAAACGGGTGAACCGATTTTGATTGAATGGCGGAACATATATTTTTTAACAACTCCCTCAATATTATGGGTATCAAATGAAAGGCCTTGAATAGTAGAATACTGTGACATAGAAAGTTTAAGGATTTATTACCTTCAAAAAGCATGAAATGAAAATAAAAAAAAACCCGACACAAGAAATAAACTCTGAAAACTAACAAATAATATTTTAAACTTATAATGTCGCGTCGGGCTACCGCTGAAAAATTTGAAAAAAGGGTCTATAACAAAAACAAGTGGATCAAGTCGAGGAAGATACTCTTATAATTATGGAATAGCCACATCATGTGGACAATGGACACCTAACAATCCTTTTATATTGGTATATTATACCAAACGGTTGATGTGAAGAGTGCCGAAATTGCAAACATAGTTGTTTCCTAATTCTACACAGGCAGTGAACCATAGTAACTATTATTCGCTTCGCTCATCTATACAGATTGCATTCGCGAAGTCTCACCTAAATTGGAATGAACTTACTCAACCTAGCTTATGAAAAAAGTAACAATTTTCTATGAGGTTAGGTAGGTAATTTAGCAATTACACTGCCCGCGGCGCCGGGTGGAGTCTGAGAGAGACTATATTGCACTTGCTTAAGCCCGCGGCTTCACCCACGTGAAATTTAGTTTGTCACAGATCGTCATAATTTATAGCTTATATGTTTAATCTGGGTTTTAAACAATAATACTGTAAAGTTTCATCAATATCCATCCAGTAGTTTTTGCGTGAAAGAGTAACCAACATGTTAACATCCAGACATCCATACAAACTTTCGCATTTATAATATTAGTAGGATTAGTAGGATATATCCAAGATAGAGGAATTCAAGAAGCAAGTTTGTTTTCCTAATAAAGTAAAAAAAAACAAAAGAGAAATAAAAATAAAAATGAAAAGTTTGCCTTAATCTGCCGATGCTGAAAGCCTGTGATAACACGAGTATATCCGCGATATTTATTGTCTCCATAAGTTTTGTATGCAAATGTGACATGTTACAATAGATGACGACACGACATTCATCGGTGACAACAAACGAACGATAAGTTCACGACACGGTGTTTTGCAAACAATAAACAATTTTTACATGTCACTGCTATAATCACAAACAATCAAAGGTTATCATAACATATTGAATATTGACTGGCCACAAGCATAGAAACGATAAACATCGTTTTGTTTTAGACATAAGAAACGTAGTGACTGGATGTAAAAAAGGACATAACGCATACTTATTAATAATTTACATTCAGAAACGATTTCCGAATTGTATGTGCTTTATTGGAGATGCACATAATATACCTTACTAAACAGTAGATGGTTATATATTGGTTCAAAGTTGTAGAATTTCTTGTTTCTTACCTGTTATAATAGTCTGATTGTTAAATATTTAAAACGTGCGTTTGCTAACGCGTTGATGTCTAATACAAGCCCTACTACTTTTCATGGGAAGATCAAGAAAAAATACAGATAAAAGTACATAATGACTACTAAAATTAATATAAATCATTGTAGTATAGTTCCATTTATCAATCACTGTTATTAAGAAGTGGTCTAGTTTGTCTCAAGACCGACTGATACCAGACTCCCATGGTGGCTCAATGACCAGTTTAACAAGCAACGTCATATCACAACATGCTACTGAACCCAAAACGTTTACAGAGTACATCCAGTGTCCCACAATTACAGTCATCTATTGTTTCACTAACTCTGTTTACATGCCAGTGAAAGGTTTAGGTATGAGATGTCTCATTAACATTTTAATTACTTCCCAGAGCAATTAAAAATCTCATTATAACTCCTCGAACAGTAATCTGCGACCATTTTGTGCTTGTGTCATTAACATTAACAGCTGTTTTTTCCTTTTTCCAGATAACACAACGCTTCGGGAGCGGTGGTGCCATCTATTAACTGGACGGAGAGTCAGCGGCGTGCGCGCCTCACTTCGATACGAATTTCATTCCGACACTACCAAATAAGCACAAATCCTCTTAGCCTTAAATCATAAGGCAATAGAGTCCATTATGCGTTGTTATAAACGCAGACACGGTCACATTTCGATTGCTAAATCGTATCGGTCGAGTTTATGTCGATTAGTCACGAATACATTCCACATTGTACAATAAAGTACCTTCCTTAAATCGATGACATTAGGATACCGCGTAAGATAGATGAATGGGGGGTAAAACGAAATCCACGCGTACGAAGTCGCGGGCGGCCGCTAGTATGACATAAATAATGTCATCTGTGTAATGTCTTTAATAAGGTTTATTTCATAAATAACCTAATGATAACGAGGCCCATAAAATGCAAGTCGTCGTGAAAATTGTGTGCATACTTTGCACATTAGTTTTCCGACCATACTGCCTCATATGCAGGCTTTATGCACTTATATTGTGGCTTGCAAATTATCAAAAGTGGGTCAAACTATAAAATAAATGAAAACATTTACACGCAAATACCTACATAAGGAAATTAGCCGGTTGCGTTTAGTCGCAGATATTGCGTAACGTTACGTGCTGTGACTTGTAAAACGTAACAGTGATCAGTCGCACGCATTTTACAATTGGTAATTTCAATGTAATTGTATTTACTCATTGAAACATTGGGTCGATTGCATCGAAGATGTTAAGTAGTGTTACAACTTAAGGTACCTTATTAAGTATTGGTCCGACTACACATCCCTGGGGACATGCTGGGGACTACATTTCCCCTTAATCATATAATTATGGCAATGGGAAGGTCAGATGAGAACAGTGTGCCTACCATGAGTTTACGTTAGGTGAGCTCGCTAGCGAATACGTCAAAAAATTATATGAAGATTTTATTTCTTGAAAGTAGCCGCTAGGGGCGCTGCACAATATGTCATACATTTAAATGTCATTTTTTTACGCAGTCGCTAGCGAGAACACCTAACGTAAACTCATGGTAGGCACACAGATTCTACCTTTTTAGAGATTCTGAATCAGACCCTGTAATTGGTCTAAATCTTGGAATTGTAAAAATATATGCTTAAGATTTATTTTATTTATTTATTTAATAGGACAACCAACAAGACATACACTAGAAGACACTCAATATTTACAACGTATTTAAACTTAATCTAAGTGCTGCCTTAATAAAATTATAGGTTGCCACGGCATTGATTTTAATTTCAAGCATTGTTTTTAATACTCACCTAAGACAAGTTCCTAATATGACCAGTTAGTATTAATGAGCACTTTAAGACTCATATACCATGTAACTAAATAACCTCCAGTCAGTCCTTCATTGGTTGGGTTTTTGTGGCGGTCAAGCTGTAGATCCTGGCTACACAGGAGTTGCAGTGGTGGGAACGAGAGGTGGGAATAGTCCTGTAACCTCCAGTCAGTCCGACATAACCCCTCAGGCCAGAGCAGGGAGTGCAGGCCAAATCCTCTATTTCCCTTTGGTAAATTACAGAGGGTCGTACTCCAAAAATGACCTGATGAGATGTAACAACCATTTTGTTACTCATCTTCTCTGTTATTATTAAAATTACTTCGCGTTTTGAGTCGCATCTTAAATTAAATTATAAATAAATTGAAAAAAATAAAAATATATGGAAGAGCAGTCGCCCGGCAAGCGAAAGGTCGTAAATTCTATTCCCGCCTTAAGCAGTTCGATTTTATCATGTTATTTATAATTTTCTCTGTCCTATTTAACTCAATAGCCATCTAAATCACCGTGTATGCTTTGCAAGTATTTCACAGGTTTCCTCTGCATTTTCCAGGTGGAGTCTGGTCGCGAGGAACTGAAGAAGGAGCGGGAGATCATGCAGCTGGTGGCCGGGCTGCAGCTCGGCTCCGACGAGGTGGAGCGCCGCGAGGTGCCGCCGCATCTGCTTCGGGCGAGGCATGCGCCTAGGTACGAGTCCATACCATTCAAAGATTATTTGCTATACGAGTATATGGTCCCTTCTTTAATCAATCTGAAGATTCTCAGAGGCATGCGCCTAGATACATACATACCTTTCAAAGATTACTTGCTGTTTAAGGTCCCTTCTTTTTTCAAAATGAAGACTGCACTGGGCAGGGCACATAGCTCGTAGAGCTGACGGCCGCTGGGGCAGGAAAGTTCTTGAGTGGCGACCACGAGCCGGAAGACGTAGCGTGGGCAGGCCTTCCACTAGGTGGACCGACGATCTGGTGAAGGTCGCGGGAGGCACCTGGATGCGAGAAGCGCAGGACCGGTCTTTGTGGAAATCCTTGGGGGAGGCCTTTGTCCAGCAGTGGACATCTTTCGGCTGAAACGAACGAACGAACAAACTGTACTGCTAGAAAAATGGTTCCACCAAAGATTTCCACAAGGACTGGTCCTACTTACTCATCCAGCTAATATAAAAATAGATTACAATGCTGGTGTTTTGGGTAGTTTTGCCACAGCAGTTTAGTGGTTGATGGGGATTGAGCTACGGAGTTCTTAAATAGGGTTTGGTATTCAATACTGATGGATTTTTCCACATAGGATAGATAGGATCTAGAAGAAAGACAGACTGTTATCTTTTAGGTGATGATATAAGATATGGGGAAGTAATCATTTTTAGGTTGAGATAAAACATTCTTGAATTTATAAATAAGAAGATTGCATGGAACGCGTAACGTGAAGTCACACTGTGATATAGCAAAAATACGCGAAACAAGTTGAGGCAGATACACGTATAGGTACTCATGGAATAGCCACATCATGTGGACCTCTAACATACAAATCGACTTATACCAAACGGTTGATGTGATGAGTGCTAAAATTGCAAACATAGTTGTTTCCTAATTCTACACAGGCAGTGAACCATGGTCACTATTATTCGCTTCGCTCATCTATACAGATTGCAGCTATCTTCGCGAAGTCTCACCTAAATTGGAATGAAATTACTCAACCCAGGTTATGAAAAAAGTAACAATTTTCTATGAGATTAGGTAATTTAGCAATTACACTGCCCGCAGCGCCGGGTGGAGTCTGAGAGAGACTATATTGCATCTATCCAAGATATAATCAAGAAGCAAATAATACCTGAGAAAAGTATTTGTTATTAAGATTTTTCTGGCGTTAAGAGTTTCCTCTTAATTTTTTTTTTACAAACATATTTTATACTCGCATCACACACCCATACTCACATACTAACATTTACATACATATACTCATATTACACCTAAGGACACTTACCTCACATTTACATACATACACATCACACCCATGCACACTTACCTCAATTATAACCTTGTGTACATCAATGTTATTACCTACTACTAGCAAATCTATCACGTAAATCTAAACTAATTTGTAACTAAGGTGGAAGAGCGAGGTACTCCCAACACAAGTATCTTACGATTACTTTCTGGGAGACCCCGGTAACTTTATTGTAAATGATTTACAGAAATAAACAATTTTTATTTTATTTTTTATTTTTTTAATCTGAATATTTTTAAAATAACTTGAAAAAAATATTTCAATTCCCAACTTAGGCGGTTCGATTTTTTAAAATGATTTAAAAAAAGTGTTTGTGTATTGAAAATGGTTAAGCAATTTAATTGATTTAAAAATAAAATAAAATTACGTTTCAGAAATCTGATTTTACAAGCTGCTTTAAGCGTCTGAGCTTTTTGATATGTCTCAATAGTTCCGAAACGTACCTTCTAAGTAGGTACAGTCAGCGTCAAATAGTTCGTGACAACCAAAGTAGCCAAAAAGTTCAAGTCAAGTCAACTGTTACAATTGGATTAGTGTGGTGCTGCAGTACTTTTTGGTCACTTTGGGTGTCACGAACTATTTGACGCTGACTGTAACTACCAATATTAATCTTATCAAACAATATGCACCACCGACAATACTTAATATACATAGTTGGTAAATACACAGGTGGCAAAATAGATATCTTCTATATCTATAAAAGCGAAAGGTCACTGACTCACTCACTCATCATGAAATCTCAGAAACTACAAATGCTAGAAGTCTCAAATTTTGTATGGGGGTTCTTTTTAGAACATAGGTGCTCACTAAGACGGGATTTTGCAAAATTCCACCCCTAAGATAGAAAGCCCCTAACGAGATCCACGCGTACGAAGTCGCGGGCGGCCCCTAACTAAAAATGAAAAGTTAGGCTGAATCTGCCGATGCTGAAAGCCTGTGATAACACGAGTATATCCGCGATATTTATTGTCTCCATAAGTTTTGTATGCAAATGTGACATGTTACAATAGATGACGACACGACATTCATCGGCGACAACAAACGAACGATAAGTTCACGACACGGTGTTTTGCAAACAATAAACAATTTTTACATGTCACTGCTATAATCACAAACAATCAAAGGTTATCATAACATATTGAGTATTGACTGGCCACAAGATATAGCAATAATAAACATTTTTTGTTTTAGACATAAGAAACGTAGTGACTGGATGTAAAAAAGGACATAACGCATACTTATTAATAATTTACATTCAGAAACGATTTCCGAATTGTCTGTGCTTTATTGGAGATGCACATACCTTACTAAACAGTAGATGGTTATATGTATTGTTTCAAAGTTGTAGAATTTCCTGTTTCTTACCTGTTATAATAGTCTGATTGTTAAATATTTAAAACGTGCGTTTGCTAACGCGTTGATGTCTAATACAAGCCCTACTACTTTTCATGGGAAGATCAAGAAAAAATACAGATAAAAGTACATAATGACTTCTATAATTAATTATGGAGTATGTATTTATCAATCATTCATATTAAGAAGTGGTCTAGTTCGTCTCAGGACCGACTGATATCAGACTCCCATGGTGGTCAATGACCAATTTAACAAGCAACGTCATATCACGACATGCTACTGAACCCAAAACGTTTACAGAGTACATCCAGTGTCCCACAATTACAGTCATCTATTGTTTTACTAACACTGTTTACATGTCAGTGAAAGGTTTAGGTATGAGATGTCTCATTAACATTTTAATTACTTCCCAGAGCAATTAAAAATCTCATTATAACTCCTCGAACAGTAATTTGCGACCATTTTGTGCTTGTGTCATTAACAGCTGTTTTTTCCTCTTTCCAGATAACACAACGCTTCGGGAGCGGTGGTGCCATCTATTAACTGGACGGAGAGTCAGCGGCGTGCGCGCCT